CCTGGTCAGGGGGGCCGGGGCCTGCATGGGCCGGCCGTCAAGCCCCATGAGGCACGGCCTGGCCATGCTGCTGGCGGCCTCGGGCAGGGGGGCCACATGGACCCCCGGTCCCAGTGCAGCGTCAGCGACAGCGGAGTGGGACGCGTGCCCTAGCCCGAGGAGGCCGCTGTGCTGCAGTGCGCCGGCCCCGTGGGCCGGGCCTGCTCCGAGTGGATGCTGCTCTTACGGAGCTGGGCCACTCCGCTGGCCGCACCCCGTGTGCTGGGCCTGTGCTGCCCAGACGCGCTGCTGCGGGAGTCCCGATCCGCCCGCAGGCCGGCTGCGGGTGCTGTGCGGGAGGGCCATCTTGCCTTGTGGCGTGTTCAAGCGGCAGCAGCAGGAGCCGGGCGAGGACTGTGCCTTCCATCTTGTCTTTGATCCTCCATTTTAGCCCCATGAGGCACGGCCTGGCCATGCTGCTGGCGGCCTCGGGCAGGGGGGCCACATGGACCCCCGGTCCCAGTGCAGCGTCAGCGACAGCGGAGTGGGACGCGTGCCCTAGCCCGAGGAGGCCGCTGTGCTGCAGTGCGCCGGCCCCGTGGGCCGGGCCTGCTCCGAGTGGATGCTGCTCTTACGGAGCTGGGCCACTCCGCTGGCCGCACCCCGTGTGCTGGGCCTGTGCTGCCCAGACGCGCTGCTGCGGGAGTCCCGATCCGCCCGCAGGCCGGCTGCGGGTGCTGTGCGGGAGGGCCATCTTGCCTTGTGGCGTGTTCAAGCGGCAGCAGCAGGAGCCGGGCGAGGACTGTGCCTTCCATCTTGTCTTTGATCCTCCATTTTGGGACAGAGCCATGTGCTTCTTCACCGGAAGAAGCCGCTGCTAGCCACACCCAGGATTTCTCTGGACTAACCAATAATAATCAAGGGAAGTGCACGCTATCACTATGACCACATCCTGTACCGACTCGCGCCTGGCCAATCAGCGGGGCCCACAGTCCCCTCTCCTGCCCTCACTCCACCCCCCTATAAAACCCTTGGTCCCATCAGGTCTCTCTCTCGGCCACTGGACTTTCCGCTGTGTTGGTGGGTCTGGTGAATGGGGAGCGCAAGCCGGCTTGCATTAAAGACTCTTTGCTTTTGCATCGGATTGACTGGTTCGCTGGGGGTCTTGGGAACTTTGAAATCTGGGCACAACACTATCTCATAGAGTAGCTATTAATATAAAACATGTAAAGGTGAGAGTGAGGATTAAATAAAATTATAAAATGTTATTATTATTGCTTATTTGTACATATCCTTTTTATAGTTTTGAAGTCTCCTTACTGAAAAGTTATACAGACTAAAGAATTAAGTTATTAAATCCTTAGTCCCAATTCTAGATGAAAAACTCCCTTAGGAATAATATGGGTATGAACTGATAGCACAGTGGATATAAAGCAATGGATGGTAGAGATGGGTAGGCTTATATGTATCCCAGATTAATGCACATTTTAAATTTCATATAGATCTTGTGATTAACATGGGCAATTATATTAAGTTCATCGATGCTTTTAGCAATGTTAAGTGTCTATATTAACAGATGTCTGAAAAGTACAAAGTGGAGAAAAACTCTGTTAAGCAATTTGGATATTCTTAATGAAGAAAATGCGCACCTATTATGTTCTTCTCTCTGTGCTAAGAAATACAAAGATGCATAAAAGCTAGATGTTACCCTTAAAGAGAACTTCCTTTACTCTGATATTATGAAGAGTGGGATTAAAATAGTTTGGTGAGGGGATCTTTCTAGTAATAATATTGTTACAGATTCAGAAAAGGTTTGAGAGCTTAAAGGAGGTATTTAGTAGAAAAAATTGGAGGAAATAAATTGCTACCTGCAATAGTACTGGTATGAGGGAAAAGAAGCAGTATAGGGAAGGGTTTGATAGCATGACCTGCTCCCAATTGCTGGGATGGATAAATTTACAGAACTAGGTCAGGCACTGCTGTGGAAAAGTATTTCAAATTATGATTTAGATTGTGACCACTCAAAATGTTTTATGAAAACAATGGGTTGGATGATTTTATTCAGTGTGTCAATTGATTGGAGCCCTTTGTACAACAATGGCATACTATGTGGCTCTCCAAGGTATAATATTCAGTGTCAAAGCATAATGATGAGCAGAATGGAAATGTGACCCTACTGACGCTACTTGTATAAAAGTGGTATAAATATAAATGTGTATAGTATATACATTTATATAAGGGTTTTTTTTTCTGGACAGTAACACAAGTACATGCTAACTCAAATAGAACCAATGTTTGGTATTGGGTGAGTTATTGTCATTGTTGAGAGTCTCCAAAGTGATTTTAACAAATAGCAGATTTCCTCTTCTTCACCAAAGCCATTAGCAGTTTGAGACATGAAATAATAATGGAGAAAAACTCACTTTCATACAGATTTAGGTCAGAATGGAGTAAGTTGCAGAGGAAGAAACTCAAATAGGTCTGCTAAGTAAACTTCAGAAAGAGGCTGATTTTCTGGTGAATGAATATCTTCCTCGTCCCAATTTCTTACCACCTGCAGGAGCAGCTGCCCTAGAGAACCAGTGGGCAGGCTGTTCCTTGGGGATGGAAAGATCCAAAGCAGGAAAAGGAGGGTAGAAGGAAGTCAAACATGCCTATTCATTCTGGTCAAATTTACCG